CTGTGAATGTCCTAGAATGGCCCAGCCAGAGCCCTGACTTGAACCCTATTGAACATCTCTGGAGAGACCTGGAAATGGCTGTCTACCACCTGGGAAATGGTCTCTGATCCACACCCACTGACTAGCTCTCCAATTCTAGGGGCAGGACAGCCAGAAACTGCTCCAGGACTATCAGGTCTAGCACCTGGGCTTCTGTGTGCTTTGCTGGGCTCAGCCAGAAGTGCAGATTTTGATGGTGCCAAGAGAGTGGTAATTCATACTTGTGAATTTTGGGGCATCTCCACATGTGTCAGCCCAACAAGGTAGACCAGACTAAGAAACCAATACCATATAGGTTAGGATTTTTATTGTAACAGAATCTTGCAAGTCTGAATATGCTTTCTTTGTGTAAACTAGGGCTTGTCTCAAATGCTTTGTCAAGTTAGTTTCTTGGCCTGGGCTCAATCCCTGCTTATCTGACCATTGTCTTGCCTCTTCCTCCTGTCCTTCAAGGCCATTCCCTCTTCCTTTACAACATCCCATTTTCTCGCAATCCTTCCAAATAATTATGAATCTGTCCATGTGATTCTTGACTCTGGCTAGTTTTGAAATATGCAGGCATGCTTTTATCCCCATGAGGCAGTCACTCTTCTAGGGAATGCCAAAATGATTTGGTTCAACCCCACCACAAGCTGTAAAAACTACTCTTATAATAACTCCTTATCATAGTTAATCATTAAATCTCCTTTGAGTCAAGGTTGATTCCTGATACACTCCTTGCTATGCTGCATACTTTTCTATTTGACTTCTGGGATTTTTTTTTTTTTAAACTTCCCAGTCTACTTACTATTCTGACATTTCCTGATGGTCTCCCTGTCAGGTCCACAAAGTCCAAACCCCAATTTAAAAGAATTCTCGTGAAACCAGGCCTGGCTCAGGTAAATGCTCCTTTATTGGTTGGCACATGCAGCTTGAAGCAAAGCATTGCTAAAACTAAAGCCTGTGTAAATTTCTCTCTACTTATCTCTCCCCCACCCCCTTGCTACACTGGTGCCAAACTCCTTTCTCACAGAATGGTGGCCTTGTGCATTCTTCCCACTGATAACACAGTTCTTCCCAGCCTTCAGACTACCACCGGTTTTGTCTGCATTCAG